GTAATTGAATAATCTCATGGCTAAACCAACATGTTATGATAATCGTGTATGAATATTTGTAATATTTGACATACAGATATAATGAGTCAGATGACTAATGGTAAGAAAAAAACTTTTAAACTCCCTGACATAATGTATTGAGAAGATGGTTATGATTTTGTTCGGTGCTGATTGTCAATGAAATAGGTTGATAATTTCTAACCTTTGAAGGGGTGTACAAATGATGCATCACACATGTTCTCTTTAACTCTAAGAACCCTATTTATAATACTTTTAGAAGTGAAATAAGTCATTGGTTAATTCTGTTGCTTCTTTGTTTCTCTCTTTATCTATATTTTTTAATTTGACAACTCAAGATAAGCTGATGATGAAAAAAGGTTGGGGCATTTCAGTTGATAATGATAATGAAGGTGGAGACTTGGAGAGAGCTATATCAAGACATTAGCAAACATCGAAAAAGCAAAAATTACGACAAAATCTATGGTGAAGGCAGTTAAATCTACGGAGGTGGTAGCGACTAAGGTGAAATTAGAAACTATGATGGAGATGAGATTTAAGGAAACCTTTTGAGCTGCTTGACATGAAAATGATGTTTGGATAAATGTCAGATTGTTGCCAAAAAAGTAACATTGAAAGATAACATTTTACTTGCTCGGAGGAGGAGCATATCAAAAAAGAAGACAAAATTGTGTCACTTTTTGCCCTTGCAAAATGAAAAAAATAATAATAAAAGATAGGATGTTTTTGCTGAGAAAAATGCACAGATTTCTTGTGTCTCTTTGCTGTAACAGAGTCAACTAGTGATCTAACATAACAATGAACTAAAGAAGGGTAGTTGGGGAATTTATGCACTTATGCAATATCATATTTCCTCCAAGTTGTCCTAAGAGATTGGTTCCAATATTATTGTGTCATGAGATGGTGAATAGAATGGTCAACAAACATGAATATGAGATAATAACACCTTTTGTTCATTAGACCAACAATTTTAGGCAAATCTCTCTATTCTAATGGTGGTGCGCTCCAACACTATAGGAGAGTTGTGTGGTGTGATTTCAAACCTTCAAAAATGAATACAAGGAAAGTTTTATGACGTCTAGAAAAAGCAATGACCTCCATGAAGTGTCTTTGGTGGACTTGCTCAATGTTTTGATGGTTAAAAAATGACCATTAGGCATTATGATAGGTTTTGTCACCAAAAAAACTAAATTGATTTAAGGTGGACATAAGCTAGAAAGGACAAGCATGCCTTCATTTCTGGCCATCATGGGAGCACTTATGAAGGATACAATTTTTGCAAACATGAATGAAGATATTAGTTAAATAAGAGTTGGTGGACATTAAAGGAGTCATCTAATAGGGGATCATTGGGCATCACTTGAAGATGTCTATTTGAAGAAAACATGTTAGTTAAGAGTTGAGGGTGTCAATCAAAATCAAATAGCGATTTTTATGAGAGAAGTCATCAATTAAGGAGTCAATGGAAACTTGTTTTTTAATTAAAGTATTTAATGTATTTATGAAGAGAGAACTAGATGAGTTATCAGTTGGAGAACAACTTCGGTGAAATTTTAATTTGAGTTGTTAGATCTTGTGAATAAATAAGAGCTAATTTTTAGTCAATCCATCATGTTTGACGGCAAAATAAGTTAACTTAGGAGACATCTATTGGGAACAACATGGCAACATGATAAATGACAACCACATGTATCATGTAGATGGGCTACACACACACACACATAACGTTATAGACATTGAGGCTTTTGTTATAGTTTGCAATCATAGCCAGTAAGACTAGTTTCACGGTCGTACCAGCATCACAATAAGACATGCGCCACATTCAAACCCGTGCCCTAACAAGATATCCACTACAAACTTATGCTACAATAAAACAAGCTTCATTGTATGAATAACTACATTCAACAATGCATGTTATTATCAAGATGTATATTCATAAGACTCACTTCGAACACTCCTCGAGAAAGTTTGAACATCATTGCACTGCAACTATATACTGATAGTAATCTTGGCAATCCATCTTCCTCTATCAAATTGATTTTCTCTTTCGTTATATGTGAAGGAAAATACCTTCACACACATCATAATGTATGCCGCTACATATGTAAAACCTTAAACTTAAGACTTATTAGTTGAAACATAAAATTCTCAACAACGTAATAGACAAAACATGTATAACAACTAATTTTTATGTATTTATAAATTAAACCGCTAAACTTTTATTTTTTATTTTTATATTTATTTTATTTAAATCTGCATTCATATTAAATAAAAAAAATACAATTATTTAAATATTTTTAGAATGAAATACATCTTTTATAGATAAGATTATATAAATATATTTATGCACACACACGCGCTCATGTTGCACATGGGGCTATTAATAAAATAAACTGTGAAGTTGCAGACAAAATATCGGCGGGAGGTGGCGTGAGGTCTCTTGGTTTGCTGTGCGGGCGGGGGTGACGCCGATAGTTGACTTCCAATACACGCGTCTTGTCAGCCACGCTCCCTCTGCGTGACCAGCTTAACCATTGGCCAAATAGCATGGTTTTAATTCGCACACCAACCAATAAGAACTCTTAAATGGAAAAAGTAAAATAAATAAATAAAATAAATTGAAAATAATGGGATTTCTTATTGTCTTTGCTGAAAAGAAAACCATAATAAGAAGATTAAATTGTAAAATAAATGTAATGTATTGGAATTACTTTTAAATTATATGGATATTAGAGTTCAATTTTAAAATAATTTAAGGATTATTAGAACTCAATTTTAAAATGAATGATGAAATTTTAAATTTTAAAATATTTTTAAGTATTTTTATATTATGATTATTTGAACTAGCTGACCCACGAGCTAAGAAGCCGATCGTAGCCATGATTCATTGGTTGACAGAGCATAATTTAGAAACTTCTTATTGAATTGTGCCAGTGCTAGCTCAATAATCAGCTTCACTCATTTATACCCCTATCTAACAACACCAATTTGACGATCAGCCAACGACAAGAAGCTCGGCAGCGCACAGGCCAGTTGGACATGTAATTGGACTTCAAGACAAACACATTCAACTGTTTATGTGGTTCAATTGTCATGCTCTTTGCCTTCATAAGAGGTATATAAAATGGGTTTCTTATTCTCATTCATGAGTAGCCTCACGCTTATTCCTTATTTATTTCAACTAATGTGTTACATATTCAAGCACTATTACTCATTTATTTTATATAATTTTTTTCACGAATTCGTTAAATGAATCGCTTGGAAATCTGAATTATGTAAAACAAAAAATTACTCTATTTCAGTTGAATTAATATTTACAATGTTAATTGATGGCTGTAAAAATCCATACTTTGTTTGTTGTTGGAGGGGATGAGATTAAAAAGATTGAATCATATATATTGTTGAATCATATATATTGTAGCTATTAAATATATGTAGATAAAAATCCATATCTACATGTCTAAGTGTTGACATGATCACCGACATGATCCGACCATGCAAAATACACTTCACTCATTTATACCCCTATCTAACAACACCAATGTGACGATCAGCCAACGACAAGAAGCTCGGCATCGCACAGTTATCTATATCTACATGTCTAAGTGTTGACATGTTAAATCTACCCTAAAAAATAAGATTAATCATCTTCATTTATATGTGATTCATTGGATATAATAATTTTCACACTTAAGACAGAAAGAGAAGTCCAAATGTAAGAGTTTGTAAATGACTAAACTACCCCATATTAGATAGTGTGAGTAGTTTATATCTGATTCAACTCCCCAAACTACCCTTATCTTCGTCTAAGAGAACCCATCTTCCACTCCTTCCAAACCCAGTAGTGTACAGTTTCCCTTTTCTCCGAGGACGCGCAAACCCAGCTTTAAATCAGCTGACAAAATTCCTTTCCCAGCTTTCTTTTTCTTCCCCGATTCAACGCCGCAGCTTTCGAGGTTGTTGCTCGAACCCTAACCACAGCGAGAGAGAGAGAGAGAGAGAGAGGAAGGAATCCCGGAATCCGTTTGCTAATGTCAAGCGCGTTGGTGTTCTCGTCGCTGCGGCGGAGAAAATCGCCGCTTTCGGGTGCCTTCTTCACGCCGGCGGACCTAACCGATCTCGCTCTTCTCCAAACTGTAGTGATCATCGCCGGTGAACTTGTTTCACGATACACCAATCCCAACGCCTCTCTACCCCTCTTCCAGCGGCGGAACTCCCGATCGCTTATCTGGAAGGTAAAAATCCTACTTGATTTCTTAAGATTTCTCAGCGATGGCGGCTCGCTTTTGCGGCTGCCTCCCTCTGCGACGACCTGTCTGAAGGAGCTCTACATCCTCATCCACCGTGCTAGGAGTCTTCATGACTTCTGCCTCCAGTCGAGCCGGCTATGGCTTCTTCTCCGGAACCCCCAAATTTCCGGCCACTTTCACGATCTCAACATCGAGATCGCCACTATTCTCGATGTCTTCCCTCTCGGGGAGCTCGATTTGGACGCCGATGTTCGGGAGCAGGTCGAGCTCCTCCATCGCCATTGCCGAGGGTCCAAGCTTTTCTTGGAGCCGCGAGAGGAGGCCCTCCGCCTTCGCATCTTCTCCTTCTTAGAGGAGTTTGACAAGGGTCGGGTACCCGATTCGGCGGACCTGCGCGAGGCTTTTGTGCACGGGTTAAGGATTCGAGATGCGAAAACTTGTCGTGCCGAAATCGAGTTCCTTGAGGAGCAGATCCACAGCCAGGACGAAGACGTTGCTCCCTCCCTTCTCGGCGGCGTGATTGCGCTTGTTCGGTACTCTCGATTTCGACTATTTGAATCCCTAGAGGAAGAAAAAAAGATAAATCCTTCTTTTCTGAGAGTTGGAGATTCCTCCATCACAATTCCCAAGGATTTTTGCTGCCCAATTTCTCTGGATCTTATGAGAGACCCTGTGATTACCTCCTCCGGCCAGACTTATGATCGTGCCTCCATCACGCAATGGATTGACGAAGGCCACTGCACTTGCCCTAACTCAGGCCAAATGCTCGCTCACACTCATCTTATGCCAAATCGAGCTTTCAGAAACCTAATCGCTCAGTGGTGCGTAGCTCACGGAATCCCCTATGATCCCCCCGATGGCTACGACGCATCTGCTGAAATTGCTTCTACTGTTTCATCCTCCTTCGCCGCCTCCTTCGCCAACCGAAAAACAGCTGAGATTTTGTTGGGAAATCTTACGATTGGTTCTGAATCAGAGAAGACAGTTGCAGCTCTCGAGATACGCTTGTTGGCCAAAACAGGGAAGGAGAACCGAGCTTGCATTGCAGAGTTGGGTGCCATTCCCTTACTTGAGAAGCTTCTCAACTCACCAAATCCCAGCACACAGGAAAACTCAGTGACCGCCATACTCAACCTCTCCATACTCGAAAACAATAAGATGAGAATCATGGAACTGAACGACTGTCTTACTTCGATCGTCTCAGTTTTGGTCAACGGATTGACTACTGAAGCAAGAGAGAACGCTGCTGCTACTCTCTTCAGCCTTTCCGCTGTTCATGCCTACAAAAAGAGAATCGCTGATGAGTGTGGCGCCATTGAAGCCTTGGCACTGTTGCTGAAGGAAGGAACGCCAAGAGGGAAGAAGGATGCTGTGACTGCTCTCTTCAATCTCTCCACACATCCCGATTGCTCCTCAAGAATGGTGGAATCTGGAGCAGTATCAGCACTGGTAGAAGCTCTGATGACCGAAGGAGTCTCAGAGGAGGCTGCAGGAGCCATTGCTCTGCTAGTCAGGCAACAAACTGTGGTAGACATAGTTGGGAAGGACGACGCCACAGTCTCCAGCCTTGTCAATTTGATCAGGAGGGGCAGTGCGAAGGGGAAGGAGAACGCAGTTGCAGCTTTGCATGAGCTTTGCAGGAATGGTGGGATTGCTTTGACACAGAAAGTGGCACGGACTCCGGCATTGGGTGGTCTCATACAGACCATATTGTTCACTGGTACAAGGCGGGCGAGGAGGAAGGCGGCCTCGCTTGTCAAGTTGTGCCAGAGAAGCGAGATAGCGGCGGCGACGGCGGTGCAGTTTGGCGGTGGATGGGAGTACACTGCGAGAAACAGCTCCATGAGAAGGAATTCGAGCTTTGTTACAGGTGATGTATCAGTTTCAGTTTCACTGGGAATATCGGTGCCTGTTCTGTAGATTGTATGGGAGAGAGCTGAGGGGTGGATTCTTTCATTCATGCTTGGGTGAAGGTAAATTGTATGACAGGGGCTCCATACCTGTAAATCTCATTTGCTGTAATTATACTCTTTTGAAAGATTACCTGCTTGATAATACAATATTGATCTTCTTGTGTCATTTTAGCTTTGAATAATTCACATTATGGAAATTTACGTAGATACCACATAATTCGTATGTATTTACATATCTAATGCTTAAGTTTGATGTTTACATTTATCAAGCTTTGGTGTTATAAAGCTATTGCATGAAAAGCTGTATTTTACTTAAAAAATATAGTGTGTTGGATGTGTATATACATAAGAATTGTGCGGTATGTATGTAAATACCCTTTTACATTATAGTCCTTCAATCTCAATTTACGATTATCAATAATTGTAGACATCACAATCTTAAAATAAAATTAGACAATATTTATAAATCTAATTCTTATCGCTCTTGGGCTGTTAGAACATGGTTTGAAAGTGGATTTTGAGTGGGGGTGGTGGGGGAATAGCTAAGGAATGGATGATGTGTGTGTTTAACGGTGTTTGGATGAGGATATGCATCATTCGACGGTGTTTTTGGTCTAGCCATTTATCCGTGTTGAACATATTTTGAAATTTGTACTCAGTTTATTCTATAGAGTCTTCCTAAATTTGCTCATAAATTTTTTATCTCTATCTGAAATGACGATATATTGGACCTCTCTTAGTAGTTGCAAACTAGGGAGTTGGTTGTGGGTTAGACAATCATAAAATTCCCATTTGTAATATAACTTCCTCTAATGACATATTCTTTTTTCTTAAATTGTTGGTTTGAGTTAGTTAGGTTGATAAGGAGGTCTCAAATTGGTACTTTCGTAGCACGAGTTTCGCCATCTACACAAATTTCTTTACATTCCCACAAAGTTTAGCACCGTTCACAAAATCCCACAAATATTTCCTCACTATTGTCGATCTTCACGAATTCCACAAATTTCCTACAAGTTCGAAGCACTATATTTTAGAGATTGAGGATGTTACATCCGATTTCGTGTTGCTTTAGGAGTTTTTCCTATCGCAATGGCTCAAATCAAATTTTAGAGGTTGAGAGTGTTACATCTTATTATGTGTTGCTTTAGGAGTCCCTCCTGTTGCAATCTTTCAAATCAAATTCCAAAGGTTGAGGAAATAAACCCTCTGATTAAATCAAGGCTTCCTATTCACTACCCTTTCGAGATCAGTGTGAGACCCCTTAAATGGCATAAGGCTTCTGATTCTCATTCTGAGATTGATACCTAAATTTCAATTCTCATCTCGGGGTCAGCATCTAAATTCTGATTCTCTTCTTTATCAGTGTGACACCCTCGAGGTTGATACCTAAATTTTGATTCTCATTCTGGGGCTGATACCTAAATTTTAGTTCTCATTATGGGGTCAGTACCTAAATTTTGATTCCCTTCTTTCTGAGGTCGGTACCTAAATTTTGATCCTCATTTTGGGGCTGGTACCTAAATTTCAGTTCCTATTTTGGGGGTCATTACCTAAATTCTGATTCCATTCTTTCTGAGGTCGGTACCTAAATTACGATTCTCATTCCGGAATTGATACCTAAATTTCAATTCTCATCTTAGGATCAGTACCTAAATTTTGATTCTCTTCTTTCTGAAGTCGGTACCTAAATTTCGATTCTCATCCCGGGGTTGATACCTAAATTTCATTTCTCATTCTGGGGTCATTACCTAAATTCTGATTCCATTCTTTCTGAGGTCGGTACCTAAATTCTAATTCTCATCACGGGGTCGATACCTCTAAATTCTGATTCCTTTTTTTTTTAGGCCAATACCTAAATTCTGATTCTCATCCTAGGGTTGATATATAAATTTCAATTCGCATTTTGGGGTCAGTATCTAAATTCTGATTCTCTTCTTTCTGAGGTCGGTACCTAAATTCTGATTCTCATTTTGGGGCTGGTACCTAAATTCAAGTTCCCATTCTGGGATTAGTATCTAAATTTTGATTCCCTTCTTTCTGAGGTTAATACATAAATTTTTATTTTCATTCTGGGGCTGGTACCTAAATTCTAGTTCCTATTCTGGGGTCAATAACTAAATTTTGATTCCCTTTTTTTTTAGGTCGGTACCTAACTTTCAATTTTCATTTCAGGGTTGATACCTAAATTTCAATTCTCATCTCTGGATCAGTACCTAAATTTTGATTCCCTTTCGGTATATTTTGAGTTGGATGTGAGTCTTTGTGCATTCTATCTTGATCCGATCACTTCACATATTTATGTCGTTCAAAATTAATTTTCACTAAAATTAAAGTTGAACTTAAAATTAAAGTTAAAACATTAAAATTTGAAATTGAATCGAGCCTTCCTCACGGTAGCCAGTTTCCTTGGCGGTTTCTCCATAAATCTGTTGTGTAACCCTTCACTTGGGTCAGCAGGCACAAATTACTTTGTAAATTTCAAATTCATTCTTGAAATTGATATCCTGAAGGTGCACTCGCCAATCCCAGCGGGAGCCCCTGCAAGCTTCCTAGCAGAAACCTTCTCCACATTTTCTCTCTTCTCTGCTTTGAGTCTGTCGGCTTAAACAATTGTGTTTGTTTGTTGATCTCGTTGGTCAACACCAATACATGCGGAGTGCATGCCCAACATATCACACCTATTTGGTGTCCATTTTTTTACCTCACTTTTGGTTGAGGTCTAGTTTCTTTCTTAGAGGCTTAGGATCTAGCCATAGGATTTTCCTGTTGATCATTCCTAGAGGACTAGTGATGGTACCCTCACTAATATAAATTATAAACTCTTCTTTGCTCATCTTGAAGTTTCACATATTGGTTCCAACCTCTAGCACTTAGTTGGTGGGACCAATATGAGGGAGCTCAAGAGAAGTCTCCATAAGACTGTTTGGCCCCAGGGTTAACCCTGGGTGGTGTGGCCTTGGTCAGTCTTGCACACACACACTTTCTCTCACACTCACAACCTCATCCTTAGCCAAATATGCTTAGTTGATCCCCTACTCTATTAGAAACTCATGTGTAAGGGTGTGACAGCGACTTTAGCGACTTTATATATGTTTAAAAATATAAGTATTTAATACTGCTGCTAGAATATTTAATTCCTCAGCAACGACACCAAAAACTTGACACGGTTATAGATTCGATAAATATGTATATATTAAATATTCAATAATGGTAAAGTCACACTTATCAATGCAAGTATACGTATCGCTCAAGTACTATAGGACTCTAATGAAGTCCTAGATATCGATCCCACGGGGAGTAATATTAGAGGCTACGAACTAACATTTTAGAAAATCAATACTTAATCACAACAATATAATTCAAATTGCTTATCTGTCACTAATAAGCAATTGAAATAAATATGTAATTTTAATAACTCTTAAATAACTAATT